GCCTGCCTGTGTTTACATGGTAGGATGGAGCAGAGCGCTGCGTGCCTGTGTTCATGTGGCAGGGTGAAGCGGAGCGTGGCCTGCCCATGTTTACGCGGCAGGACAGAGTGGAGCGTGGCCTGTCTGTGTTTACACGACAGGGCTGAGTGGAGCGCGGTTTACGTGATCTGCCTGTGTTTACACGGCAGGATGAAGCAGAGCATAGCTTGCCTATGTTTACGTGGTCTGCCTGTGTTTACATGGCAGGATGAAGCAGAGCGCAGCGTGCCTGTGTTTACTTGGCAGGACGGACTGGAGCACAGCCTGCCTGTGTTTACGCAGCAGGACGGAGTGGAGCTTTGCCTGCCTGTGTTTACACGGTAGGATGGAGCAGAGCACGGTGTGCCTGTGTTTACGCGAGAGGGTGAAGTGGAGCGTGGCCTGCCCGTGTTTACGAGGCCTGCCTATGTTTACATGGCAGTCCCCAACACAGAGCATTTTCAATTGCTGGTATTTTGGATGTGTTTCCCTAACATTTTTCTATTTGTACCATATATGTTGGATTAGAGATTAACCCTGAAATGCTGTATTGGTGCTTTTGAAACAGGGAAATGGTTATACTCACTCACACAAGCGCACGCGCACACACACGCACACACACACACACACACACACACACACACACAGCTGCTTAGTACCCCATAATGCTGGGCCGAAAGGCCAGGGTTGCAGATACAGGATAATTGTCAGCGCTTACATGAAGGGTGTTGATTTAGCCGTTTGGCTCTGAGCTCTGGCAGAGGCAGTGAGGTATTTATCTTTTTTAATGTGACGCACCAGTGAGGCCAGCCAGGGTGGCAGTGCCCCCCCCCCACCCCTCCAACCCCAGAAACTCGCGCCAAGTCTGTCTCACCCGGCAGCCCGCCCACACACTCGCACACAGAGGTTATGCCAGGCGGCTGCGTGATTCATTAGGCATGCATCACTGGGTGGGGGGGGGGGGTTTGGGGCGGCCCCTGCAGGGACTGTGCAGCTACAGGAATGTCACTGCTGGCTACTGCGAGGTGTGCGTGTTTGCTTGTGTGTGTGTCTCTGAGTGTCTGTCTGTCTGTGTACCTGTGTGTGTGGAGTGTGCGTGTTTGTCAGTGTGTCTACCTGTGTTTGCGTGTTTGTGTGTGCCTGTGTCGTTTCTGTGTACCTGTGCATGTGTTTGTGTGTGTGTCTGCATCTGACTGTCCTGTGTATGACATTTTAAGTCAAGTCAAGACTAATGTCAGTGTACTTTGTGTGTAAGAGTGTATATGTGTGTGTTTATTAGTGTGCAAACGATGTTAAATTTATGTTAGAGTGCTTTCCATTTGCATTCTGCATGTACACACACTTGTCCTGCTAAATCCAGTGCTTATGTATTTGTTTATTCAGTATACCACAGTTTGAAAAATGGGTAAAATATTGCCTTTTTCTTGATTAACTTATAGGTGCACATTTAAATTTTTGTTCAAGAGGACATTGGTTAATCATACATGCCTGTGTTAGTAAATATAGTAACAGGAATGAAGAGCACCATTAAATCTGAAGAGGGAAGGTGTCGCAGACTCAGCTTTGCCTTCGGTACTGCGGATTGAAGCTGCAGAGGTCATTGGCTGATTCGCGTGGTCATGTGCCGTCTGCTTGAATTAGTGTAATTAATATTCATATACTATAATTCAAATTATAGTGTTATATAGAGTTATGAAAAGTTGCCTGGATAGAATTGCCTCTGCATTTTGGTCTTATTAAATTAATTGTGGTACCATGGGCATACAGAGAGTTTTCAGATACCAGTTCTTGCTTATATTGAATTTTTGGAGCAGTGCTTATGGTGCTTGCTGGTGGTATCCTGGCTAAAGCACTGGACTTCACAGTTGTGGTCTAGCAGGTACACATGCAGGTGAATGTATGCAAACTGTATGCTAGATAGATAAAATGCTTTATAATGAAAAGTAAGTCTGTTCTTAGAATTTAGGACTAAGACATAAGAGTAAAGGCTCCTTGCGCGTTAGCTCTGGCTATCAAGGCCGGCCAGCTGAGTGTAGTTTCTCTTAAGGATTTGATAAGATCGAAACGACAACAAAGCAGAGCTGAATTGCTCATAACCACAAATTGTAATTTACAGTGATGTTATCACTGTATGTTATGTATATTTATTTTCAAAATTCTGTTTTAAGCCATATTAAATTATGTCATTTTGGCCAATTGCAAGTGTGCAATTTTTACATCACAGTATTTCTGCTTGGGATATTTCAAACCGTACAGCCCTGCTTCTGTGAATCCATTATCAACCGTGATGGAGGGTTCACTTTAAGTATAGTTCAACCCATAATAATATTGTTTCTTCCAATTGTTAATTCTGTTAAAGCTATCCATCCAAACTGAGTGTTGTTTTTGACTGTAATTGATGGGAATGCAGACACAGAAGACTTTCAATTATTAAAAAACAAGTCAGAAATCAAGATGTCCGTGTTCAGACTTAGGGCATTAGTTTGTGTAATTCTGGGCTAAGTAATAACTGATATCGTGAGCTGACAGGAGTACAAACGCACACTGTGTATCCGGTCTGAAGCAGGGGGGTTATAAGTGCGTTCCTCCATCATTCATGACACTGCTGGCATGGAGAACAGTTATACATGTCTGTTTAAATATAGCTCGGCTTGCAGCTCGCAGACACTCAGGGTGGGAGGGCCGAGTCATCAAAGAGAACTTTGCTGGAAATTTCGAGCTATTTTTGTCGGCGTGGTCCTCAGATGGTCGTCCACACGTGGCGCCTGGTGGCGAGGCGTCTCCGCTCCGCGCCGTACGCGCGTGGTAGGAGCACGGCTGCGTGTGCGTGGGTGTGAAGTGCTTTTAGCGGCGTCGCTCGGCTTGGGCACCCTTAGCAGAGGAGGCCGGGGAGGTGCTGCGGGTGCGGGGGCGGACGGGGGCTGAGCGGAAGGGGGCTGATAAGCCTGTGGGCTGCAGCTAGATGCCAGGATGGTGGCTGATTTTGTGGTCATGCAGGTAGCTTTTCCCTCACCACAGAGCTTATCATTCCCCCCTCTGGTTGATGGTGTGATTGGCCCCCCTGCTACACTCGGAGCCAAACGGGGCCCCGCCGACAGACAGCTGCTTTAGAAATTCACCTGAAGTAGTTGCTGAAGTACAATAGAAGATGGGAGAGTGGAGATGTGCACTTTTCCATTATTTATTCCCTGAAAAGCCAGAGGGAGGTAGTTCAGGTTCAGAAAGTACAAATCCAGACCAAGATTTTGTTTCAGCCAATGGGTTGGATATTCTGTAACTGTGACTCTTTATGCTCGACTGGTTGGTTGAAACTAAATCTTGTTCTGGATTTGTACTCTCTGAACCTGAACTTTCCACCTCTGCAGTATTCTTGCTAATAGCATGAAGGTTGATTACTGGAGGTTAAGCTCTTCTTGGGCGAGGTTTTGTGCACATAATAAAAGGGTAAAAAAAACACTTGTGTTGGACTTAGGCTGCGTAGGCGTCCTGCCTCTCGTTGACTGAATAACTCAAGATTCGTGGCTGTTTTTTTTCTGATTTACCTCATTTTCCTCACACACCTGACCAAACATCCCTCCAGTTTTTTTTTATCTGTCGGTCTATGTGTTTGTCTCTGTGCACCACCATAAAGACCTGCATGACCACGCTCTCTTTATTTATTTTCATAAAAGTCTGTTAAAAGGTATTGCAGCATGTCCCTCTAGGTGTCTTGGAATGAGGCAGGAGAAAAGCCTTTGGAGCACTGCAGCTTTACAGCTCCAGTGTCGTCACTGTTTTTTAGACTTTCCCAGTTTCTCTTTATGAAAGGATGCCATGGGAAATAGAAAAGTCCCACACCAGTTCAGTGCAGGAGGGGAAGGAAGCGGAGGTCTTGGTGGCCCCCAGCGGCGGGAGGGGATGCTGGCACACAGCGAGGATGTCAGGCCTCCTCATGATGTCAGGCCTCCTCATGAGTGCTGGCTCTCCTCTCTCTGCATCTCTCCACTGCCTGATAATTCACAATGACCCCTTCAGGTCACATTAAAAGTTGTCTGGCTTCACACGCCAAACCCCGAGGGCCACAGTTATTTTCCTTTCTTCTCAGTAGAGAAAAAAAGAAGCGATTCTTGTGCTTGGTGCTGTAACCCAAGCAGATAAAGCAGGCAGTGTTTACCTTGTTCGCTGTAGATGTCAGACTAATTACAGAACATTAGACTGCCTGCCTTCACACTGCATTGTGTATATATTTCCATTTCCTTGTGAAAATTTGCAAATAATATTCAGCAAATTGGTGGAAATATACAGTAATAAGGAAATTGATTGCTTTTGAACCACAGCCTAAGTCTATCTAGCCGTCTCGGAGTCCAGATTATCCACCTGTGGCATCAAAGTCCATTGAACCAAAGATGCTGAAATGAAGATGATAAATGAAAACATTTCTTGGACATGAAAAGAATAATTCCAATGAGTGACACAAATAAGTCTGCAAGAAATTACAAATATACATTTATATTATCCAGTTTTAGTTTCTGAGCTTCATAGAACCATACGGGCCAGTATTATTGTAGCAGAGTATTGTCTGTTAGCTGGGTGATGGTTCATTCGTTAAAGATGGTTAATTAATGCAATAGCATCATGTGCTGCCCTGGGAACAAGCCAATAGTCCGTGGTAACTTGGCAAGCTCTGCTAGATGGTAAATTATTGAGCCACGTACTGTGTAACTGTCTATAATGTATAATACATTACTGTTACATTTTTTATTTTATCACAGTAATAAGATATGATTTTCCTTCATTTACTGTTTCTGTTAACAATGACTAGAATAGGCTATGTATGTATTTGTCAACCTTAATATATGTAGAGTAATAATAAACTTATGATTTACGTATTAGCATTGTAAGATCACCGTGGACTGTGTATGCGATGGCTGTGTTGCATACATGGTGTGTGTCGTGTAAAGAAGCCCTGAGATCTGGCTGACGTGTCCACCGCGTGTGTGCAGAACCGCGGACGCCTGGCTGAGAAGCGGACCATCCCGCTGCCTCCCACCCGCCTCCCCAAGAAGGAGCTGCTCTGTGCCAGCAGTGACGACAGCGAGAGCAGCGACAGGGCCAATGGTGACCCAGCTGACATCAAGCAAGAGGACCAGCTGCAATTCAGTATCATGAGAAAGAGGTGAGGATCTTGGTATTTATGCACCAATCTCCGTGTACCACTTTTGTTGTATTAAATTCATCTCTTAGGTATATACTTGACTTCAAAACAGAAAGGTGTACAACATTATTTCCCCTTTTGTTGTACAGGAATACATGTTTTGATTTGTCCTGTCCAGTATCTTATTTTCAGTATTCCAGTATTCAGTGCCTGCTGATCATATTGATGGCATTTCCTCTGAGAATTTAGTCTTCTGTTTGGGTCTTCAGGCGTTCTAAAGCGTTGTTCACTGTGTTAAAAATGTAGCATTTTTTGCAAGTATTACACTAGCTGACCTATCCCAAAATAAATGTGATATTTTTATCTATGTAATTTTTGCTTTATACATATTTGTTGTTTGTCAGAGATTCACCATGTTGAGTTGGTTAAAATGTGGAATACGGCCTTTGAAATCTGACTGTACGTTATGTCGGATCCTGCACCAGAAGTTCGTCCCGGGAAAAGAGAAGCGATAGAGGCGTGTGATCGCGTGTCACGTGTTCTTCTGGTGACTCGGTCCGGCAGCGAGGTGTGTAAAGGCCACACGTCACGATCTGGCTTGTGAGAAACACACGTGGATGGGGCCTGTTAGGCATTCTACCATTGCTTTCCAGATGCTATGCTGGTTAAACCACGGCTATGAATCTCCCACTGTCTTCTCAGAGAGGGAACTCAGTGGGCAGATAGGAAGGGTCTCTTTGGTAAAACACAGAAGAGCTGACAGACGGCTGATTTATTCCAAGCATAAGAGAAAAACTTAGCATTCTGTACTTGTGTCATAATGTCTTGTCTTTTGTTACTTTTTATGTTTGGTAAATTATAGAAATTGAAAGCAGCGTTGCGGCTTTTGAGTAGCTCAATGCGGAAGATGAAGGTAGTGATGACTTTTGACTCGTTTCCATCGCTTAGTCGAAGGCCCTGAGTTTTTTGATAAGCAGCACAAACGAAGATGGTTTGACCTCAAACTCAGAGATGCTATAAATCGAAAGCAGACTGGTAGAGACAGTCAGGCAGTACTTGCTATTCATCCGTGATGGTCGCTCATGTCAGTGAGAGTTAAAGGACACGGTGAATGATGTTTCTCTGGCCTGCAGGGCAGCTTCTCGCACCGGTTCTTCATTAGAAGTTGAGCAATAGCACTTGATGACTGGGGCAATAGGAGGATGCTTACATTAGATTTATCTGCAGCCTTGTTCCCCCCCCCCCGAACTGAGGTCTGAGGTTAGTGGAAGGGGCCAAAATGTTAATCCGACTGTCTTTTCCATGGCTGACCTTCAGACTCGCAGACCTTTCAAGGGACATTTATCTGTCAACACGACAGACAAAACCTAGAATTTTTCAATATTCAGGAGTTACAGGAGTGATAGGAAAATAGAATAGTTTAATCTTTTCTGTTGATTTGGTATAATTAGTAAAACAAGTACAGAGGTTCTTGTAGATGTGCTAGTATCCAGTGATTGCTTTGCAGCTCTTATTCATCTACACAATGGATTATGCTTTTGGAAGTGTTTTGTGTCTATATATATGTGTATTTCTGTCCAGCTTTCTCCACATTCTGTGTTGTGTATGCTGTGCCTGATGTGTACGTACAGTATATATCGCCACTGGCAACTGGGTCTTCTGAGGCTTCAGATGTGCTGAGCAGGACGTCACCTCAAAAGGTGTCACTGTCAGTGCCTTATTAACACTGGTGCCCCCGCACTGCGCCCGGATGACCTCCAGGGCTCTGCACTGCCAGGCCATTAATGAGTTTTAGTGAAAAGGACATTCAAGATTCTCATTTTAGTGAAAAAAGGCCATGTTTGTGAGCACTTTTTAATCATGACTAGAGAAGAAAGGAGACCTAAAACAAACCTAAAAAAAAAAATCACCGCATCTATACCTATTTATTTTCGAAACATTATTTTACTGATCTGTGACTGGCTAAGTCAGGATCTTTATTGTAGTCGGATACATTTTGGCTGCAGTATGTACATACCACTGTATCATTAAAGAACTGGTCTTCTCTAGAGCAGTGTTTCCCAATCTGGTCCTCAGGGACCTCCAGACAATCCATGTTTTTGGATGGTCAAGAATGTGGAGAATCTGGCAAGGAGCTGGGAGGGAGCAGAAACATGGAGAGTCTGGCAAGGAGCTGGGAGGGAGCAGAAACGTGGAGAGTCTGGCAAGGAGCTGGGAGGGAGCAGAAACGTGGAGAGTCTGGCAGGAAGCTGGGAGGGAGCAGAAACGAGGAGAGTCTGGCAAGGAGCTGGTAGGGAGCAGAAACGTGGAGATTCTGGCAAGGAGCTGGGAGGGAGCAGAAACGTGGAGAGTCTGGCAAGCAGCTGGGAGGGAGCAGAAACGTGGAGGGTCTGGCAAGGAGCTGGGAGGGAGCAGAAACGTGGAGAGTCTGGCTGGGAGCTGGGAGGGAGCAGAAACGTGGAGAGTCTGGCAGGGAGCAGAAATGTGGGGGTCCCTGAGGACCGGGTTGGGAGACACTGCTCTAGAAAGAACAAACATTTATCTGTACTTTTGTTAATCCATCTGTCCATTTTCTGATCGATTGTCCAGTACAGGGTCATGGAGATCCTGTAGCCTAATTTAGGAAGTGCGTATTTATCTCCCTTTAGCATAGCAGAAATGTACTTTGATTTTATAAGAACAGATGTGTGCCGCATATTCATTTAAAAAAATCCAGTGTACATGGTTTTAGACATCAAATGGGAACCACAAGGCATGCAAAGGTCCCACTAACCTCATTACACAGATTTTTACTCGACACGGCTACTGCCTGCGCGCTAAGTTGCTAATTAATTTATAGAACACTTAGAACTGTTATGCAAGGCTTTTACCCTTTAAAGTACCGCCGTCACGGTGGAGCCGAGTCTCCGATCTATTCTGGGGACTCACTATTCATTCCTACTTTGCACAAATGTAGGGTTGAATGAAACACATAATCGGATGTTCAATCTATGAAATTGCATTTACATCAAATATGGCGCAGTAAGTAAGTTAAATATCGGTCGAAAAGAATTAGATTTTGTCGGCTGATTGGTTAAAAAAAAAATCTGCTCATTCCAAAACTACTGTCATGGTTCATCGACCAAAGTACGTGGATTATTGTCATTTTGTTATTTTTCTTTCATTAGTCTACGTTTAATATAAATATTAGAGCGTACATTTTAGGTTTTAGTATTGTAATATAGCATACATTTTATATTTTGCTATTTTAGTTGAGGTTAATTCTGTAGTTGAAATAGCCAAATGAATTAACACATAGGGACAGGCAAATAGGCGAAAGGGTCTTTCTGTATCATGCTGACAGCCTTTCATCCTAAGATCTGTCAGATTCGATATTTCTCACTATGTTTTTAATGTAGCTTAAAAGTAAGGGCAGTTAAGCTTCGCGTCTGCTGAGACCTGGGATCCACTGAGAAAATATGCAATGAGTGTCGTCGAGTGGATAGATCGTACATGGTGCACAAAAGGAGCAGAACCTGCATAATAATACATGCTTAGAAAGTTCCGCTGATCTTTTAAGGTTCTTGACGTTACATGATTATTAAACATTACATTAGTTTTATGGAGGAAAATACTAATTAAAAGATATTTTAAAAATGTTCACATATCTTAGAACCAACATAATCTTTAGTAATTATCTTCAAACACAAACATCAAAAGAATTTGTTTGATACATACCTCTCTGCATCTCCTTCAAATATGTACACAAGGTGTTAGCTAAATTGTGCTGACTTCTCTCCTGAGTCATTACTCAGGTACCTTGACGGATTAAATTATTTACATCTGCTGACAAGGGGCCATCCCAAAGACTCACTCTCCCGAAATCGGCCTCAGACCGGCCTGTGAAAAAGACTGTTACAGCTCAGCTATTGTTTGGGAACTATTTCTGCATCGGTTTATTCCAGTCAAGAGCGCAAAACATTTCTGGGTGCAGTTGGGTGATTGGTAAGTCGGATGGGAATATCAGATGCCGACGAGGAACTTTACGTACTGATAGGAGTGCAAACGTGGATCAACGGGCTCATAAAGAGGAGCAAGGCTATTGCTCCCTACCACACCTGTCAAGACTCCCTGATAAATCTGTAGCTATAAATGTACCTGCATAAGAAGCGAGGTGTTAACCTGTATGCACCGGCGCCAGCGGGCCCCGCGATGTGGTGCAAACCTCGCTCACTCATCTGGGGATCCGGGCTTTGCCAGCTGGGCTGAGAAAGTAGCTTCCTCCTGATGCTCCTGATCCTCCGCAGCCTGTAGAACTGCGATATCCAGGCCGGGTGCCAAAGGCAGGGGGTTTGGTGTCATCACTCAGTGCTGGTAGGTCCCCGTGTTGATATAAAGCTGGGCAGCTGTGCTGATCTTTGCATGTAAGTGTTACAGTGTGAGGCTTTGGTACAGTGCACGTTAGATGATATATCTTATGCCCAGCACCACTGCATTACAGTGTGAGGCTTTGGTACAGTGCACGTTAGATGATATATCTTATGCCCAGCACCACTGCATTACAGTGTGAGGCTTTGGTACAGTGCACGTTAGGTGATATATCTTATGCCCAGCACCACTGCGTTAGTGTGAGGCTTTGGTACAGTGCATGTTAGGTGATATATCTTATGCCCAGCACCACTGCGTTACAGTGTGAGGCTTTGGTACAGTGCATGTTAGGTGATATATCTTATGCCCAGCACCACTGCGAATTCTGATAGACATCGCTAACAAAATTAAATTATTACCACAGACATGGTATTTAGAAATGTAACCGAAATTGTTTTTGTTTTTTAACCACAGACAGTCAAGTCTTTATACAGACATGTTTGTCCACATAGGGACAGGTTGACAGTCGTACATTGTGCCTTATTTATGACCATAAAATATATATCTTCAAAAACAAAAATGTCAACCAGAGTTGAAAACTTATGTTTCCATTAATTTGTTTGAACAGCAAATGGCACAAAAATTTTACCTGCTGGCGCAGTATTTACTGCTGC